GATAGTGACATTATCTTGATTTAAAGACCCGTAATTTTTATTTTCTACAACACAAAAGTTGTATATGTATAGTTTGTCTACTATAATAAGCTTGGTGATCTGGAACTTTAGGAATGACTTTGATTTGTTGATGGTCAAAGCAAATAATTCTTAAACCACCTCTTTTTTCCTTTAAAAGATCATAGAATGCATTTGCTCTATGCTTATGAACAACTAAATCAGTACTGTTTTTCTTTTCTGAGTCATTTTCAATCTTTGTTTGGTTTCAATTTCTTTCATAAAATGAACATGCATCCAATTTAGGAGAACCAAACCCTAAATTAAAGTTGAGTATAAATATTTTTTTGAAAACTCAAATGTCACCGGTAGATTGGGCTTCCTTTCTGGATACAATTTCCATACAGTTTTAATACTTTTAAGCTCTGATGGTAGATAAACTTTTATAGATTTTTTTCTGCTATAATGACTTTCCCTTCCAGCAAGATTCTTTATAAATTCTATCACATCCTTTAGCTTATCCTTGAATTTATAGCTTTTTTTATCACTGGGTGATTTCCATGGGTAAAGAAATGTTTTGCAATACTTTGAACACGAGTTTTACTAACATATTAGCATTTTAAAAAATTGTTTTTGCAAACACGAAGTATTTGTCTGTTTTCTTTTTCCATAAAATGACTAATTTTATAATTAGACCTTTTCCTAATTTTATTAATATGAAATTGCTCTCTTTTTCTATATCGTTATTTTTTCTGAACAGACAAAAACTTTAATATAAAATTGTCTTGGTCACAATTTTTTATAGCATTATAAAAATGAGCATTAAAAAGGTAAAGGTCAATATCTTTTATTTCAGAGCATTTATATATTAATTTGCGTTTATGTTGTCAATAGTGATTTGATGAAGGTTTCAGTCCATGCCTAAAAATAACAATGTCAAATAATATATATATATATATATATATATATATATATATATATATATATATATATATATATATATATATATATATATATATATACATATATATATATATATATATATATATATATATATATATATATATATATATATATATATATATATATATATATATATATATATATATATATGTATATATATATATATGTATATACATATATATATATATATATATATATATATATATATATATATATATATATATATATATATATATATATACATATATATATATATATATACATATATATATATAGATATATATGTATAAATACATATATATATATATATATATATATATATATATATATATATATATATATATATATATATATATATATATATATATATATATATATATATATATATATATATATATATATATATATATATATATATATATATATATATATATTTCGTTTGCCCTCCTTGAAATTTTATCTAATCTTATAATAAATATTATTTCAATTTTTAATTTTTAAACAGAGGAAGAAATTAGAGAAAGAAATCAATTAAAAAGCGAAAAAAGAAATCATCTTTTGCTATAAACATACCCAAAAAAATTTTTTTTTTAAATAAAAACTTGAAAAAGTAGTTTAATTTTTTCATATGAAAATACATTTTTTCATATAAAAATACATTTTTTTCGATAAAATATATCAATAGTCTTTTGATCTCAATTTAAGATTTGTTTCACGCTGTATATTAGTGCTTTAAAGTAGTTTTTACGATATAGAAAGTATCATGTCAAAATATCGTTCAAAAGTTCATAGCTTTTACCAGAGGCTCACTAATGAAGCTTGCTTGGTTTTCAAGCTTAAAAGACTAAAAAGAAAGCGAAAATCGACACCAAATTGGAACATCGTTTAAACATCTTTGACCAACTAGATGGATAATGCGCAAGTTATCTCTAATATCTATTACTAGTAACTGCAGATGACTTCTTATAGAAGTTTTCTACAGAAAACTTCACGTTTGACTGGAAGACCTTACCACTAACCCTGACTTTACCAAATGCCGAGTGGATGCAATGACCTTTTTGTCTTCTTTTCAGGTTTTTGACACCTTTTATAAATTGGAATTTATTTGAATAATTTTTACAATCCTAGAAGGTTCAAGCATTCAACTTCAGGGAGGTTTATTTTTGCGTACTCACGTTTCAAAACACTTTTTTATGCGGCAACTGAATCTGCTAAAATAATGGGTTTATACCTGCATGATTTTAAGTGGTCTTTAAGGATACTTAATATTTGTAAAAGGATCCAAATAAGATTTATAGGCAGTTACACTTTACCGGTTTAGATGCAGTTTTAGTTGGCCTCATCGATTGATTTGAATCAACTGAAACCACTCGCTATTTAACAAGGATTGAAGAGTTTGTGATTTATCAAATAACACTGAAATTAACTACATAAAAAACTTCTAAAAGAATAATTTTCCTAATTATCAAAGACTGCAACTTCACCGGGACCATTTCATTGACGAAACTAACAGAAAAAAAGTTCAATTGGAAGATTTTCAATCAGTTCTAGATTTCATCCGAGCTAAAGAATAAATTGGATTGAAAAGAATTGCCTCGGAAATTGTCCTTTTATATTAAAATAATTCTGGTCTAGCCAGCATCAACTTGTACAGCAGAATAATTATTCAGTAGTCTGCGTAGACTAAAAACGTTTCTTTAATTGACCATGAGCCAGGAAAGACTGCAATGAATACCCATAATGAATTTGTTATGAATACCCATAAAGAAATTACCCGAAGTCTTGAAATGGATTTCATATAATATATGTTTTTTTTTTAAAAAAAAAGATACGCGCTGTAGAATGCTTTAATTGGAAACCAAGTAAAAATTCAAACTAAACTTGTTTTTCTTTAATTTCTTGATGCTAGGTAACCAAAATCAAAGTTATTATTTTTTATTTCTATATTCAAAAAAAAAAAAAAAATAAACACTGGACAGTAGACATATATTTCTCAAAAAAATCGAACCTTTAACTTTTTGCCCCCCTTGACATATAGTTGTTATAAAATCATAACGCCATTTCATTCGCTGCGGACTTTTAAGTTTTTAAGCTGTAAACCTGTATGACTTAGCGTGTTTTAAAAATGTTTAGATATTTCCCTTGAAAATTTTTAGGACTTAAAGTCTTTAATTTGATTTAATATTTAAATAGATTATAGATTTCAGTATATAAAATAGATTTCAGTATATAGAATGTAGAAATGTAATTGATTCAATTTTTTTATTTTTGTGACTTAGCGCTTTTGGAAATGGGCTCCTCATATACTCCGATAAAATCTTCATTCACTTCAGAGTTATCACAGCAAGTTCTTATATCAAACGACATTTGTTTTTTAGTAATATCTGAGGATTCAATTGCAAGTACCGAATAGAAATGTTTATCTTTGACCAGTTCAACAATCCGTTGAACTGGTCAAAGAAAAAAAGTTGGGCGGCGGTACCCCCTTATTTTGGCAAACTTTAACGGAAATTTTTTCGCGAAAAAAAAAAAAATTTGCCATAAAAACGTAAAAAAAACGTGGTAAAAAAAAGGGCCTCAAATTTAATTTGGGCGGCGACCAAGTTGGCGCCCTAAAACGGTCGACGCTATCGAAAACGGCCTAAAAATCGAAATAGACCTGACAGATTTCACAATAACAGCTTTCAGTGATCGATCATAAAATAACCAACTAAAATCATTAAACCAAGCCTTAATATTCTTAGACTTTTTCCATTTCTGTCATTGTTTTTTTTTTGTCAATTTCACTAAAATCCCCCGAGTTTCTAACAAGATTTTCCGTTAGAATTTTACTATCTTTTGCATCGGATTCCTGATTTTCTGTATTATTTATTTTTTCAATGCCTATGTCAACTTTTTTCTGATTTTGTAGTTTACCGTAAGGGTTCTCTTGCTCCACCGGTTCAGTTGTTGTTTTTCGCAACAAAGTAGTAATTTTGGTCTGATAAGATCATTCAGCTGCTTTTGATAATTCTATAGTTTTTTTTCTTTTGAAGTCTTTCGGCCTTTGGCACGACTGCTCATTGGTAAAAACCGTTACATATAGGTTGTTTTAACTTATTTTAATTAAGAATTAAATTACTCAAATAATTGTCAAAAATAATCACTACTCGAAAATAAACATTGAAAATAAAAATATCAACTTAAAAAGTTATTGCTATGTTTGTTTTATAACTGTTATCTTTACAATGTGGGTTTTTTTTCGCTTTTTTTTTTTGTAAATAAAACTCAAAAAACTAAGACTTTTTTGCAAAATAAAATCTTAAAGGGGGTATTTTTTTTTAAAGTTACGTTCTAAATGTCTTTTAAATGTCTTTTAAACGTCTCCTCAACATTTTTACTTAAAGAATGCTTAAAAGACGTTTAAAAAACGTTTAAAAGACATTTAGAACATAACTTTTAAAAACAAATGCTCGTAGGGGTGTTAATAAAGTACAGTTGATCATCTCGAGCTCGACTAAATCTTTTTCTTATGTCGATTTTAATTGCAGTAGCATTAGCATGAATGGCTTTATTTAAAAATTATTAGCAAGAGGAAGTTTACAAATTTAAGAAATCATACAGGATTATGGGTAGAATGCAATCTTTTGTTCCACAATAGCTCACAACATATTTGACAAAGCTTAAATTTTACTTCGAAGAAATTTCCGAAAAATGCCAAAAAAATGAAAAATTGCCAATTTTTTAATAAATAAAATTTTTAGCGCGTTGAACGACAGAATAGTACTTTACTGCACAGATTATCTGCCATACACAGAGCAAATGATGCTCTTATGAGAATTGAGTCGGTCCCATAAAAAAAGAATAACCGTTTGACTTTTTATTTTTTAAATATATTGGGTTTAGGAATTTTATATATAGCTGCACTGCCAGCAAAGTCACGTAATAAGAGGATTTAGGTCACGTGTGTAAGGATTAAACTACGCATCAAAAACTTGAGGAAGTAAATATACATTTTAATTATTACTTTATAAAATATAGCTGAATAGTTTAGACAGAAATAATGTTTAGATTTTATTTAAAAACAAAAAATTATTTATTTTTTAACAGATTTTTTGTTTTTGTTTTCTGCTGTTAAGAATGTTGTTGTAGTTGTTGTTATTGTTAATGTTGTTGCTGTTGTTGTTCCAACTCTAAAAATCTTTTGTGATTACATCCACAAGCATATCAATAGTTCGAACAAGTCTGTATTTGGCTTCATTTTCTAAATTCAAAGTAATTGAAAAATAAGATATAAAATTGATTCAACTAAAAAAATATTTAAATTACATAACAGATAACAAATTATACGAGTTGCACACTACGTTGGGCCAATGATGACTTGACCCTACGTATTGTGTTGTTCGAATATGATGAAAATGACTCTGATGGTCTCTTACCAATGCTTCTTTTGTACATTGATGGCTCGTCTCCCAAGACTTTGTTCCATTTCTCTATTATAAATTTAACAGCATGTTTGTAAAGATCTGTAACTTTAGTGATACCACTTGCAACAGCGGAGCGTAAAGCTGAATTGACTTCTGTTAAGGACACGCTGAATTTATCAGCAAGTTTTCGGACTTTTTTGCATGTCTGAATAGATTTTTTTTCAACATTTTGTGGTTTATAAATTTTAAGAAAAATGCAGTTAAAATAAAATTATTATTTCAATACTCTTATATCATTAAAAGCAAAAAAAAAATATGGAACTTCACCTCAACTGAAAGGACGTTTTCGCAAGATATTTGAGCTCTGAGGTATTCAGTTGCCTTGTTATAGTAATCTGCTGCATTGTTGGCACCTAAAACCAATATCTGGCTGTTACAATTAAAAATAATTATTTAATAATATTTAGTCTAATAAAGGCAATTAAAGAAAACTTAGGGAAGGCATGAATAATAAAACTAATTAAGAAATATACAAATAATTATATTAATAATAAAAACAAAATAAAGTCATGCAAATAAATATTGTTTCTAAAAAATTTTTATAATATTTTTTGTATGCTAGTTGCACGATAACCTTGTAAAATGGCCTCTTTGACAGCTTTTGTGGCATCTTCCGCGCTAAGTTTAAGGCTAATGGCGTAATCAGCAACTTTTTTGCACACCTACGTAATAGTAAACAATGTTTAAACTTAAATTGCTTAATAACTGATTGAAAATCATTTTTTAAACAACAAAAATATAGAAAATATTTTTTATGTTCAATAAGAAAGCAACATTTTGCAAAAAGAAAATAGTAATTCACGATATTTCATCGAATTTTGAAAATGAGCAGTCAAAGGGAGATCAAAGAAAACGTATAAAAAAGAAAAATATTTTCTCACGTCTTCTGAAACAAAAGCTTCACATTTAACGTTTTTCTTGAGATCATCTAAAATAAATAATGCTGCAACATATAACGTTACTCCAACTTCAACTGGCCTTGCAACAGCTTGTCTCACTGCTTCGGCAACTTCTATAGCCGATAACTTGAGGTTTTTTCCAATCAAAGCAATTTTATCGCATTGCTACGAATGTTAAACAGATAACATGTTTTTAAAATATAAAATAACTTAGAGTTTAGTTACAATTTAAAAACTTATGTTTTTCTGGACAAAAGCATTTACTACTTAGTTTGAAAACTTACCTCTGCAGTGAGAGCATCAGTGCATTGAAAGTTAGTTGCTTTTTTTACCAAAGTATCTCTAACAAAAATAATTACATCCTGTGTGTTTTGTATACTTTTTTCAACGGCACTAATAACAGCTTCATGGACAAGCTGAACATTTACGCGCAACTTGACTGCCACTGCTTTTAATGAAGCACAGGTCTTAAAAATAACAGTTAAATTAATATTTATGGACAATTTTTCTCAAAGAAATTAGTTACTTAAATCTGGTTATTATAAAATAAAGTGTTAAAAATAGAAAATAGAAAAAAAAAATTACGAATCAAATTTCTCTTTAGGTATTTTTTTCTATTGTATGTTGCAAAATCGGAAGACAAAAAATTAATTTATACAATTAAATATCTATTTATAAAATTTTGTTAAAAGTTTAGAAGACTTTATAAGTTATAAAAATGCGAAGGTTAAATAACAATAAATTTGTTAAACTTGTTCAAAAAATATTAGGTTGGTAAAACAAGTTTATATTAACATCAATAGTTAAAGCAAATAATATATTGAAACTAAATACTTTTGTTATAACCTACATCAGCTGTAAGAACATCTTCGCATTTAGTGGGCAGTTTTACTGACAAACTATTGGCAGATACATATTTGAAAAGAAAAAGAAATGCAAATAAAGCAGCGACTGTTCTCATCTAAAACAAAAGGTTTTACGTTTTCTGTGAAGTTTACTTTGAAGTTTGTTGTTATATTATATAAAAAGTTTGTTTTTTGTTTTTTTATTAATTTCAATTGCTTTTATTATATTAAAGAAAAATTACTAAAAATTTAAATTAATATCTTTTAAGAAACACTAAATAAAGTTTAACATAAAACAAAGTTTAGCATTAAAACAATATAAAAGACCTTGGATAAAAAACCTCCGATAAAATCCTCCAAAAGTATTAAACTGCCACACAATTTTTAAAAAATTTACAAGGCCTTACCTTAATATTGCAGTAACTTAAAAGTTGCCTTTAAAAAAATTTTTTGCTTCAGGTGTAATCTTTTTAACTTTTACTTTTATATAGCATTATGTTCGTAATATCTGCACGTAATCTAAATAAATGCTGTCAGGCTGTGTTTAGATGTTTCATAACACACGCCTTATAGGCGTACTGATTTGGTCACTAGTAAATACTGATTATTAGCATAAATAAATAAAAAGAAAATACTTTTAATACAAAGACAATGTTTTAAAAAAAAACTAAAGAAATGTCAAGTTAATGTGATAACATATGTTTATAACATTCACTCAGATAAATCAAATATAATTCAAAATAAAATATTACAGGAAATTTACAATAGCACAAGCACTCAATTAAAGAAAATACTTGAAAACACAACATACTAATATAAATGTGAGGAAAATAGTATGTATCCTATATAAAAATAATATCAACATTAGTAATTATAATAATTGTCATTCTTTATGTAATAACTACAGTGAAAATAATAACTGTTATGTTGATAAAAGTAAAGTTATTGTCGTAAGATTTTCTTCCTTTGCTTCACACTCACTATCATGGTCGCTGCTTAAATAAGATATCATCTTTTGTCCATCAAACAAAACTTATTCATGCTTTTTATTTAGTTTAAAGATACACTACAGATACATGTACAGATACATTTTACTGCATATGTTCCTTTATGCTCTAAAAACATTTATTAATCATATATATATATATATATATATATATATATATATATATATATATATATATATATATATATATATATATATATATATATATAAATATATATATAAATATATATATAAATATATATATATATATATATATATATATATATATATATATATATATATATATATATATGTATATATATATGCATATATATATATATATATATATATATATATATATATATATATATATATATACACACATAGCAATTAGGCGCCCCTATTTTCATGCATATTTTTAAAAGGAATTTAAATTAAAAGCATGTACAGTTATACAATTTAATAACCGCTTTTTTTATTTCTAATAATTTAATAATTTTGTTTTCCATAAAAATTTTGCAAAAAACGCATCTGTATTAATTGATACTCAGTGGGCACGGGAAGTAAAAAGTACGTCTTTTAAAAGTCTTTTGAAAGTATAAAAGACGTCTTTTTTAGTTAACGTGCCAGCCCAGGAAAAAAAGCTTTATAGAAATTTATATAAACTTTTGAAACATAAGGCCTAAAGAAATTCTATAGAATTTATAGAGTTTTCGTTGACTTCTGAAAAAATTGTATTGAAATTTTTCTTTCTACTTTTTTTTTATAGAAAAAAAAGTTTTATAGCAATTTCTATAGAAATTAATAGACATTCTCTAAAAATTCTATAGAGTTTCTATAGGCCATATGAGTTTGAGTTTGAGTTTATTTATTTCAGAAATCAATTATATAATACATTTATATATTTTGATGAGGAAGTGTTACACCAGGCACTTCCATGCTGAAAGAAGACACTCGTGTGTCCGATCATTCGTCTTTTACAAATTTCATTATATGAATACTAACCTTGAACGAGTTGACTGATTCAGCTCTTATGGCGTTTAAAGGTAGCGTATTCCAAACATTCACGATGCGATTAGTGAAGAAATTAAATCTTTTTTGACAGTTTTTTACCCGTTGGCGTTCGAGTCGAAGATAATGTCCACGTAAATTATATTTGTAAATCGATGGTGCGTATACTTGAGGGTTATCAAAAATAATTTGATCAATACCTTTTGAAATTTTAAACTGTTGAATCAGATGACCTTGAACTCTCCTTTCTTTAAGAGTAGTTAGCTGAGATGAAAAAGTCTTTTTCATATGGCAAATGCTTTATTTCCGATATTGTTTTAGTTGCTTTATGCTGTACTTGTTCTAGAATAGCAATGTCTTTTTCATTGTGTGGTGACCAAGCCTGGATAGCAAATTCTAACTGGGGTCTTATATATGTTTTGTAGAGTACTTTCCACAAAAAGAGTCCACAACTTCTATAAATTTTCTTAAGTCTACCAAGTTTACTGTTTGCTCTTGCTGCTGCTGATTCGACTTGATAACTTACTTTAATATCGTCTGATAGAAGTACTCCCAGATCATGTTTGTGTTTAGTGACGTCCAGTTGAATTCTGTTTCCACTCAAATCAAGCATCGAATAAGTTTGAGTAGATTTAGAGTAACCACGCCCAACGTGCATAACTTTACACTTATCAAAGTTGAGAGGCATATTCAATTTATGCGACCAATCTACAAGATTATCTATGTCAGTTTGCAATGTTCTTTTGTCCTCCTCAGATTTTAGTACTCCGATTATTTTGCAATCGTCGGCATAAATCTTTATGTGATGAGTAATATAGTCCGGCAGATCGTTTATATATAAGATAAAAAGAAGTGAACCGAGCACAGAGCCCTGGGTTACCCCGCTTGTTACATATTTCCATTTAGATTTATGCTTGCCGATTACAACCAGTTGATAACGATTCGTTAACTAGTTTGCTATCCAGTCTAAAACTATGCCGTTTATACCATAGGCTTTAAGTTTGTGTAAGAGTCTGACATGTGGAACTTTATCAAAAGCTTTCGCAAAGTCAGTGAAGATGATATCAGTGGCGCAGCCTTGATGCATTGCTTCGGTTAGTATATCCCGAGTTTCAAGTAAGTTCGATGTGCATCCTTTACTTTAAAGAATTCCGTGCTGTTCTTTGGATATTAGGTTAGTGCTAAGACAGTGATTTATGATATTCTCGTGTATAATACCTTCTATAATCTGTTTTAAAATTTTGCAGAAAATTCTATAGAACTTTTTTTCTTGGGAAGTAATTCTACAATTTTTTTTAAATCAATTTTTAGTTATACATAAAGGTCGTTCACCAAGTGTGGCAAATAATAACGTTGTGCAAAAAACTAAAAATCCGCCACTGACCAGTAAAAATAAAAGCTTGTGAAACAGGAAAAAACTTCAATAATGTTATTTTGCATATTATTAGTTTAAACGAGTCTTCGTTTTTCTATATTTATTTGTACGCATATAAAAAAACTATAAGTTTTTTTATATGCGTTTTTTCTATATTTAATTGTACGCATATAAAAAAACTTATAGTTTTTTTATATGCGTACAAATAAATATAGAAAAACGAAGACTCGTTTAGACTAATAATATGCAAAATAACATTAATGAAGTTTTTTCCTGTTTCACAAGCTTTTATTTTTACTGGTCAGTGGCGGATCCAGGATTTTGAAGAAGGGGGTGGCTACATTATAAAAAAATACTTGATTTTAACTTACAAAATTTTATGATATTTTATCATCCAAAGCACATTATCTATTCATTGAAACATAATATACAAACATAAACTACTAAACACAGTCATAAAAAAAAGATTATGCTTGAATCCTACGTGGATGCAGTGCAATTAAGTTATTTACAATTTTTTTCTGTTGAAACATAGTCGTGTAAATTGTTATAATGCATCCCAATTACACACAAATCTGACAATCAATCAGTTGTTATCGTTGTTTGTAAATATGAATGAATGCAAAGTACACAAGAGAATGAACGCTCCGCCTCACAACTGCCAATCGGCAAAATTGCCAGAATGAGAAATAACTCACAAATATTTTCAAAGGAATGTGAAGTCAATATGTTGCTGAAGCAGTTACGTGATTGTCATTCCACAAAAATTGTTCTCAACACATAAATGTTTCCATAGCTGTAACTTATTATTCAGACCATATGGGTTTGGAAGAATTGCATACCATCCGCTTGTTGCTTTGACAGTGTTTGCAACTCTTCATTGTCTTTGGTGATAATAACTTCTGGAATCAAAGAACATAATTCATAATGTGCTCTCTAATTATCTGTGAAAAGCGATGCTAACTCAGGTAAAACCTTGTCGAGGAAAGGAATGGCAACATTATGCTTGTAGCAGTCAAAAGGTGAGGTAGCAGGTATATTTGAGCGGTGGTTTTGACAACTACAAAGCCTTGGAGTTTCTTCAGTACAATTTACAGACTGCACAATTTTCTTGACTTTGAGATAAATGGTAAAAAAACAAGTCATCAGCATTTGTGTGGAGAGTAAAATAGAAAAAAGAAATTTGAGAAACTTTTTGAAAGGCCAGATAAACCTTCATTAACTCACCATGAAGACATGATACAGTTGGTTGCATTGGCTGTAAACCTTTCTTTGCCAAAGCAAAATTATAATGTGGTCGTAATTAGTAAATGTGTATCGTAATTTATTGGCTTTTGACCAAGTCTCAGAATCCCAACTCCAACTTTTTGGTTCTAAATCATCATAGAGATCAATGTCATCTGATGGTGTTACAATTTCATCAAGAGTGTGAATAATGTAAATGTAAAGTTAATCAATAGTATTGAATGTGCTGTGACACTCAAGCCATCGTGTTTTGCAAAGGTTCTTTAACTTTGTCTTTTTTAATTCAAGCGCTTGAGTAAAAATAACTCGTTGAAGAAAGCGTTGTCGCTTTGGTGAGTTATCAAAAAATAAAAAAAATAGTTGGTAGGAATTCATAATATTTCTAATAGATGAAATCTCACATCCATGGCAAACTGTTAGATTTAGGGAGTGAAGGACACATCCTTGATAGTCCCTTAAATGGTGCGCATTTTTTTAAAAAAATCTGTACCCCTTTTCTGTCTGAACTCATAGACGCCGTTGTATCATATGCTTGTCCTTTGCAATTTTTGATGTTAATACTTCCTTCTCCTAGTGTATTTTTGATAGACAGTGCATTGGACTCTCCTGTGATTCTCTCGGCCTCCACCAATCGAATTAAAACTTCCATTTTTTTAAGCTTTTCTTCCAATGTGTCAAGAAGACGAATACAGACCGAAATAATCTTATCTGCAATTATCAAAAAATGTGGACAAGCTTTTAGAAACTTACGGAAATAGTCACGAATCAAGTTAGCGGCAATGTTGATTATCTTATTTTGTATTGTTTTGCTAGTATATAGTGCGTTTTTCAGTCCATTAAGTAGATGTTCCTTTTCAAACTGGATTTTGCTCTGCAAGAAGACGAATCAGGGCAATAAAGTTTCCTTCATTTGTTGTCGGATTTTCAGAAAATTGAATGACATCT